AAAAATTAATTTATTTGTTTATTAATAAATTTTAATATTTTGAAATCTCACGCTCTTAGCACAATATATTTTCTAACAGAATTTGTTTTATTTTTCTCCCACATTACTATATCCACACTTAAAGCCAAATTTTACTCGTACGTACATGAAATACACTTTAAAAATTGCACTCATTAGATTGGAATTAAATTGTTAAATATTATAACTACTGATATACATACATTTAAATAAATATATAAAATATAAGCATCATAAATCGGTCATATGTATGTGTGACCCAAGCTGAAATGAAATGAAAATAATATACATATTTATTGTATCGACCAGACCAAATTAGATTGCATTTTATTGTTTATGTACTTATTGTATTTGAAAGTCTAAATATTAGAAATAATAAAAATCTATAAACAAAACCAAGATTCTACTATTTAGTTGTCTCTAAAGTGAATATGTATAAGGGCATATCTAGAATATCAACGCCATCTACATACATATAGTATCGTAGATGTATGTATATATGCGTGTTCTAGTTTCACGTATATATCTATGAAAGCACATACATACATCATACATAAATCCCATAAAAAATAAAAAAAAATTAATTATAATAAATATACATAAACGATTAAACGAAAACTAAAAAATCGTTTTTTTTTTTTTCATTACTAAATTAGAGATTAAATGAGTTTCTGTCTAATATTATATTGTGCAAGGAAATTCTACCTTATTTCGATATCACAGAGACTGGGGAAAAATTCTAAAGCTACGATAGAGATATGTATGGAACTGGTGTTAAACGAAGATAGAAGGACCCTTGAATGATGAAACACCTTTGAAATGGTCGATAGACAAGCACAAAGTATAGTTGATAATTCCCTTGTTATATTATATACAGAAAATTATTATCCAATTTTCCTCTTCGCCGTCTTAACCATGGTTACAAAAAGGACATAGATGTCTAAAGAAAGAAAATTAATAACGATAATAACCGGGTGTCAAAACGGAATTATATACTGGCTGTACTCACTAATCTTTACACCGTTCATTCTAACACTGTTAAAATATTTTGATAAAATATGCTTAAATAATCTTTTATTTATTTTTTTTTGTTTTAAATTTTAATCAGCTCAGTTGCCTCAGATTCGACCGCCTTGTTCTTTATACTAAGTTGAGATCTTAACCACAACTGAACAGGTACAGGAGCGCAAACCTTAACTTCAATTCTTATTATTTTAATGAAGTCTCTCCATGTATCCCTCTTGTCAATTATATTTTAAAGAAAAAACACAGAAACTTCAAAAGTGATGGGGAATGTTTATTATTATTGATAATGGCATCAGTTATAAAATGTTCTTCTCTGTGTCATTGCTCAATTATGCCATGAAGCTTTCCGAAGCCAACCAGAGAGAGTTGTTTTCCACTAGCAGAGGCAAAATTCTATGCTAAAACATTCTTTCAAAAATTGTTGAAATAATTATCGATAAGGAAAAAGAAGAAAATCATGCTGATCACCTTTCTGTCATAGCACGGTAATTTTTTGTTTACCTCCCGTACTTCCAAAACACCTTTTTTAGCAATTGGTAAATACTAGTATATGCGAGAAGCAACGTCAAAGTAAATTAAAAGTCTATCGTTATAATTAAAAATATGCATAAATAAATTTGAAACATATTATATCTACATTTCAACTACTGTAATATATCGCCTGCTATAATTTTTTTGCTATAACAATTAGTCAATAATCGAACCTTTTTGGGTGAATTAATGTAAAATACAAGGTGTGCCATATGAAATAAAACGCGTGAAGCCAATTTTTTGGTGTGAAACGACAAACAACTAATAGAGACGTAGACGACGCCAAGCTCTCCGTCCTATTTGAATTAGAAGGTGCAACTCAGTAATTTACTGGATGCAATTGCTCTATAGGCTTGATAATAAACAATCTCAAGAAAATTGATCATGAAAAAAACATCTTGAAGGTTCCCAAGAAAACGTACAGATAGGCGAGATTCTTAAAAACTAAAATGTCCAAAAAGTACTCTGATCATGAAGAAATAAAAGGTAACAAAAAAAAGGCAACAAAGGTTGGTGCTTTCAATGTTATTAAACACTTTCAGGAAATTTTTATCTGACACTATTTATAAATTTGCTGCGAAAACGTCGGATCATCTTGGAATTTTTTAAGACCTCATAGAGCGACGTAATACCGCTTGGCTAGGTCGAGCGGCTTCAGTTCTTGCACAAGTTCAAGATAAGAGGCGCCAAGTCGTTCCTTACGTCAGTCTGGGATTTGCTGTGAACGGCGCCGAATCGACTATCCAAGGTCTTCGTATACCCTCTCAAGTGCGACTGCTATATTTTCTTCACCGCGTGCTAGACGTGATGTGTTCGGTCGAATATTATCCAATAATGAATGTTGGTTCTCAAGATCGGTGATGATGTTGCGAATAGTACGCTGAGTAATCCGATTATGTTGACCATAAGTTCAACGAAGCGCGTGAAACACATTCTTTACAGACGTGAGTTTTCGTAATAAAGTTGAATGACTTATAAACGTTGTTCCGACGTAAGTCTTTCCATGATAAAATGCCAAAACATACTGAACAAAAATAGTAAACCAGCTTGACACGACTCACGCGTGGTCTGTCAAAAAGATGCTTTTGATAAAAGTAATTCGACTAGGATCTATGGAAAATTAGTATCTGTCTGTCTGTGCTATCCTCTCAGTTTTTGAGATAACAGCCTGAACTTTTTCACAAATCTCTTTCACTTCAAAAAGCAGCTCATTTGTTGGTACAGCCGATATAGCATATAGCTGGCATAGAAAGTGAACGACCAAAACCGAGTAAATTTATGGTAAATAAATGTTTTTATTTGACATGAAATTGAGCAAGGAATATTTTTCCAAGCAAGCAGTACAATCTCCGAATAAATTTTTAGATCGGACTATTATAACATATAGCTGCGATACAAACTGACTGATCAATATTAAAAAAGAGATCTTTTTATACCTTCTTATGCGCTAAGGAATGCACTTCTTCTTTTTTATTGCACTTATGATTTGCGTTTCTAGATTTAGCATTAGGTAGAATAAAACACGTTTTTATGTTAATAATTTTTTTTTATTACTTGTTTACGTTTTCACATCTCTTCGGAAGCCGTTAGTTTACAAAAAATCTTCTCAGTTATATATCTAAACATAAAAAGGACGTTAGCAAGAGGTCATAAGCGTTACATTAAAGTAAATACTTTTTTAAAATTAAATTTTTTGTTAAAATTTAGTAATGTCTTTTGTGAAAAAAACGAAACGAAATGTGACGAAAAGAATTCTTCTTGATAAAGCATAACAATGAGGTTTCGTAAAGCTCAAAGAAAGTCGGGATTATACTTTTCTTAATATTTGTGATGTGTGCGTGTTCAATAACAATTTGTTTAAGTACAATAAAATACAGCAAAGCGTTTACGCATATGTCTTTTGTTTACTAAGCACTTTTAAGCAACGTATAATAAATTAATGCAACTCATGCATATACATATGTATATATATTTAATATTTTGTATATTAACTATTTTATTTATTTTCTTTTCACTTGTTTTTTTTTTCGCCTCGAAAAATGCTTCATCTTGATTAAATGTATGTAAATATTTTTGCTTAAATTGTATAATATCAAAATACACACAATTTCTGTTTTTTATTAAATTTTTAGCAAACGCCTTTTTATACATATTTACTGTTACGTATGCGTTAACATACATACAGACATATGTAACTATGTAATTTTTTATATTTTTGTTATTCTTATTTGTTTTCTATTATTATTTTTTTTTTTGTTTTGGTTTTCAAAAGTTCGTTGAATTCCGTTGGCAATTTTTCTATTATTTTAATTTAAAATAAAATTTAAATTTATATGAAAGTAATTTATTTGTATGCTATTTAAGTTTATTTATATATATGTCTGTGTGTTTGATTGGCAAGTCTGTTTCAACAGCAATTTCTTTCTATTTTCATTCTCAGTTGCTGCAGTTTTCATGCTAAAACCTTATTTCGTTTGCATTTAACCGTTATTGTACATAAATTTCGGCAGCGAATTTCTTAGCGCTTTCGCTCAACAATTCCACCAAAAGTCCGCTTTTAACTATAAATACTAATTTTGTTAGAAATGAACAAATTTCTTTAATTACACTGCATTTATGTACGAGTTAAATACCGCTAAAACAAGAAAATTGTCAAATCAAAATTTCTAGTCGAATTACTTAATTTTAGTTAATCGCAAGATAATAGTTAAATTAGTTCAATATTCGTGGCCAATTTGTGGTGTCATGCCCACCATCAGGTCGTGAGTATTTACAGTCCATCGCCCTTGTTTCAATTATCGCTTTTCCGTCGCCAACTTGTAGGTCCGTAGCATACAGTTCTTTCGTTTTTGTTTTTATTTTTTGCTTTGTTGTTGTTTTTGTTTCGAAGTTCCACCGGCAAGTGTTTAGTGGGGCGCTTCATTGTGGCCGCCGCAACCCTCAGTAGGATGGCATGCGGCGCGTTCATCATCAATCGGCGGAAAGCTCATCGATGCGACAACGCACTGCATGCTCCACCACCTCCAGACTCGGGTAGTCTAGCTCCTTGACGAGACACAGCGTTGCTGATAACAGATTGGAACTCTGAAAGTATGAAAAGATGGGAGATTTTTAGTATGGGGGAGTGACATGTCTGAGATAGCACTACACCACAGCATTTCCTTAAGATACCTATAATTAGCTTAAATTTACAAAGAAACTTAGGACCATTCATATATGCTAAATAAACAGTTTTTTGCATGCCAAATAAATTAGTTTCATTTTTAATATACATATATCGTAGTGTCCGCAAAGTTTGTGCCTTTTATCTAGTATTCCTATCTGTAACTTGATATCTTCTGTAGTTGTTTTGAAGCACAAGTTTTTGAAGCAGACTTCGCCAGCCGCAGTTTCTTAACTAGATCATTGCTCTTCTCAATATCAGTTGGTTTCCCTTAAAATGTCAAGTTAAGTCACAGACATAGTTTTGTGTAAATCTTGCAATAGTGTTGTTTCTTTCACGTACAGTCCCGACAAAAAACAATGTTGTGGTATTATTTTCTTTTCCTTTAATGCGTTATATGGAAAGTTGGTTAATACAGGCGACATCGTAATTTTTTAGAGTTCTTTATGGTCTATTTCAATATAAATTTAATTAACTTTATGAACTATTAACACAAGAATTTCTTCATCTTAAACACCTTCGCATTCTATACTCATGGTACGTAGACACACATTTTCAATAAGGAATACCATCAAAAACTTTCACTTTCTTCCCTATCCATTTGGTTTTCAATAAATTCATTGTGGCATTCGCTGTGTGGCTTGTGGTGCCGTCCTGTTGGAACCACATATTGGCTTAGTCCATATCATACAATTCGGGCCAAAAATTTTCGATTATCATTGAGCGGTAGCGATTCCCATTCACAGTAACGTGCCGGTCTTGATTATCATGGAATAAGTACGGCCAATGTCGTGGCGACATTTTCTTTACTCACCACTCGCTTCAAAGAAATTGCCGACACTGAGACGTAGTTTGAAGACCAAGGCCGATTGTACTACAAAATGTTTATCGAAATGTTGGAGGAACGATATAGTTGCACCTCAATGGCAACTTTTTTCCAAAATAAAAGCAAACTGTGCCTAAAAATGTGCCTTGCTTTAAAACAATATGAATTTTTCAGCCTGCATGTAATGTATGTGTATTATTCTCTTTTTCAGGGCACAAAAGACTTAAGCTCGCGGTGCAAACCGCATCTATTTATCTTATGTGTATTATTTGCTATATTATTGTTTTAAGAAAAATATTATTTTCAATAAAGGATGCTTTGTTTAGACAGATCACACACATTAAATCACCAAATTGTGTTCACCACATTCACACTTACCCGATTTATGGGACGTCTGTGATAGCCCGAATAATGATTAAGTACAGCTGTTGAGACGGTGCTGGCAGAGTCGCTGTAGCGTCCATCGGGCCGCCTATTTCGAAAACAATTAATAACAATATAAACAACACAACAAACAACAAAAGCAAAATTCCATGACTTAGCGCATTACCTGGGTCGCGGCCGTTCTGCGTCCTCCCAATCGCCGCCATTTTCGCGCGCGCTGCCATTTCGATACGCGTAGCGGTCGCTGACGTCACCACGACGCGGACCACCCACATGATGCAGCGCAGCTGTGCTGCCGAATTGATTGTGCTGCTGATGCTCCTCCCACTCGGTCAGATCGGTTTGGCTGTGACGATAATGGGCAGGATAGGACGGACGGTCAGACTGATAGTATTCCTGCCAAGTAAAGAAGGCAGAATCAAATAGCAACGCATTTGAGCAAGCGACAATAAAGGAATACAAGCCAATAACAATAACAAACAATGAAAATAATAAATGTTATTATACAAATACCAACAACAATTGCTCACCAGTAAAATCCAGTAAAATTAATAAATTAAAGCTTTAAAGAGCAACGAAACCCAGTGAGGCATTGGCTTAACCTCAAATTACTTGCACTTACCTTCATCGATTGTGTGGATATACTAGGCGGTATGGGCGCGCGTTCCCGATACCCCACATGCGGACTATCCTGGTCCGAGCCTGGGGAGCGCTGCTGTTACCAAAATTCAAGTCAATGTGTTAGTTTAGTTTTCGTAAGGCCACGTGGTTAGACGGGTGAGGAAACATTTGTGTGTTTTGGTTTGTGTAACGATTATGTAACGGTGGATTTGGTGCACAATTTACATAACAAACAAGTTACGGTTAGTTGAAATTAGAGTTAACGATAAATATATATATTTACATATACTGCAATGTGCCAAACAAATATACATACACTGAGATCCTTTGACTATGAGCACAATGACCGCATCGCTTCTAGGCTCCTAATGCGGAGTTATGAGTTCATTTCCGCTTCGCTAAGCGCACATACAAACATAATTTGTCTCTGCCCAACCCACCTTTCGACGACCATGGAAATGTGTTAATTCGGCACGAATTTCACCATTTCCTTGAACACACCCAGCCAAACCTTGTTCTGGTGTCACATACTCGTACACCGAATTTGCATAAGGTAATGTCACCGAATTCGCCAGTTTCTGTATTTAAGATTTATATGGAAATGCATGTGTACAGTTATATAAGCATTTGAAATATTATATTTTTGGGTAGACGGGACGTTGTTGACATTGTGTCTGTGCGAGCCCAAAACTCGCGTGACTCATTTAGTCAGCTTAATCGGCAGTTCTACATACAGATGTTGGCGTCGAAAGAGAGTTGGTTGAATATGTGTCATATCAATATCAACTTAAGTATCGTAGTAAAGTTGTTTTAGTCTGTCTTCGGCCTCCTTGAACAGTAAATAAGCAAATTACAACAAATCAGGTTCAAAGCTCAAACTAAGGCCTATGTCCGATCTCAACATTTTTTTTTCAGAGATCATAGCGTTGCATTGGACAATAATCAAAATTTAATCAATATATTTTATCATTTAAAAAAATATTTCATATAAGCTGTTACAGACAGTCGTACTGTAAAATAGTCTGATCGACGGTTTCGACAAATGAGTAGTCCGTTCCCGCGACAGTCGGGTCTGCGAACGGAGTCGAATTTTTATCCGGCCAAGGACTGTCAACTGTTACAACCACAGAAACAAATGAGCAGTTTTTTGGGGAGACAAGGACGTTTGCAAAATTCCAAACTCTTCTAATTTTATTTGCTACTAGAAATCAGTTGTAATTATCGAGCCAAAAGTCAAAAATTACTAAAAAAAAAGATTCCAAATTATCGAAGTTTTCAAACCCAAAATTTGGATATGCCATTTTCAGTAAATCTCTAATCTGAAGTCATGAAATAATATGAAAAAATCGTGGATGGAGTACTTGGCAAATAGTTCAAAGTAAAAGTATCCTCACAGTTTATATTATAAATACTATGAGATTTATCCTCGATCAAATGGGTAAAACTCTGTGGTGAGAGCGGTGAGCTTTTTACAAATGGATCAAAGCTCGAGGGGAGGGTTGTTGGAGGAGTGCACTGTGGAGAACTTTTTATCTGTAAAAAGCGGAGGTAGCTATCATTAAAGTAGCAGTAGAGCTCCGAAGCGTAGTCTCCTCCAAAGTGATGACTATTCACTCAGATAGCAAGGCAGCGATATTAGCATTCAGTTCGCTAGCTGTGCACTCGAGACTAGTGAAGAGATGTCTATAAACCTTATCTCTAGCATCAAGTAATTTCATGATTGCACTGGCTTGGGTGACTGGCTACAGAGGCACTGCAGAAAACTGTAAGTACGGAAGCTTAAGTCTCAATAACTGCGAGATATGTTGGCTTCTTGTGGTTGGCCACTCAATTAAAGTGCATCGGACAACCTTACCTCCAGCAGCTGTGAAGCCACAAAGTTCTTCTGGCCCGTGGTAAATCGGAAGTAGGAATACTAACTATACACTGTTCGATCGAGATGGATGCAGTAAAATTGAACATCTTACCAGATACCAGCTGCATCTTCTAAGCAGAAATGAATTCAGCTCAAGACTGCCTCCTCGAATTTCGTGCATCTGCCAGTTCAAGACAAAAACTCCTCTAATCTCGAAAAAGAAATAAAAACTCCAAGGGAGATTTGTGATAAGTTCAGGGGATTCACCTGATAGGTAATACTCAGCTACAATATTTTTTCGACTGGCTTTACAAAAGACGGAACATTACAGTCTAAATGTAATTCCTTAACTGAGCTGAGGGATCAGCCACCTAACAAAATCTAACACACTCTGCTCCTAGATTTCAGCCACACGGGATGGTTCCGCCCTTATGATGGCTAATGTTGGATTCTATTGCTTCTTATATACCATAATTTCAAGTTCATAATAAATATATTAAATATATATAATTACTAATTAAAAGCACTCTACTCAACGACACATCTCTTAGTACTCGTAGTCAATAGATCTCCGTCTTTTAGTAAACTTCTGCAAAAAACAAATAATAATTTTCAGCAATCGTAAAATTCTTACATCATATTGATGATAAGACAACCGATTCACGTTCGTGTATGAATTATATTTCGGTGAGGGTGTATGCGCAACTGGCTCCTGTGCGTTGGTGGTAGTGGTGTCAGTAGATAAAAAGGATATAAATTGCAAAATGAAGAATAATTAGTTTGTTATCACATTAAATTTGTGTTGTTAATGAAATTTTTGTAGATGACATTAATGAATTGATGAAATTGCTTAATAAGAGCAAGAGCTTTAAAACTATATACTTAAAAAAAATGTTGCTTACAAATTACTACGAATTATTGAACTCAAATAAAAACTACGAAATGCAAAAGATTTAAGCAATCAAACAAAAATCGCGCTAAGTTCTATGAAAAACGAAAGCAGCTACATTGAATTATTGCCGTTAGTTTGCGAAATACCTGTGCGGGTGAGGCTGGTTTTGAGACCTCGTTGCTTTTGCTTGGTTCGCTGGCGCTTTCCTCAGTATTTGCCGGACTATTTTGTGTCGAGGGCTTTTGAGCGCATTTACAAATTAATAGTAATTAATTATGTGTTATTTTTTTTAATTAATTTTTAGCATTTAAGTTTGGTTTCGAAACAATATTTCAGTTTTACGGTTTGATCAGTCCATTTGGTTAGCATAAATAAGAATTTTTATTAAACATTAGTGAGATTAAATGGCGTTTTTCTGGATTTTAATATTTTGAAATACTGCTATTATAAACAAATTTCGCAATTTAGAAAAGAACTAAGCAGCCAATTACACAATTTATTTTTTATTTATTTTTTTCCTTAAAAAATCTTAACAAATATTTGAAAAAATTTACATCTAGCTACACATACGGTGATGCTCAAATAATTAGAATTAATATTTTTTAACGGATTTTTTTTTGTACTAGTAAAAAAAATAATATAATTTTTACTTCCCATATTCCTTTAGAAACATTATATGTATATTATTATGAGCAAATTATTCTTTAAAAAATGCATTGATATTATTCTACGTTGGTTTGTAAATAATCTCATATGATGTTTTTATCTATATCTCACTTAGTCAAAGTAGAAATAATAGATTTGGAACTTCCGATGGACTTCGCAAATATTGGTTGTAAAGCGGGGTTTTCAATAGGGAAAATGTGAATCCAAAGGCACAGTACAAAATGTTCCCGTGCCAGTGAGGCAAAGAAGTGACCATAGTGTCCAGAAAATGCGCTAGCGTGAGCATTATCTAGCGCCTGAAATGAACTTCTTCCGTGATGATCAAGACCAGCACGTTACTGTAAATGGATAATATAGACTTGGAAAATATGTGGTCCCAACAAGACGACACCACAAACAACACAGCGAATTTCACAATCGATTTATTGAAGACCAAGTTTGGCGAAGGTGTTGTTATCACTCGAAATGGGCCAATCAATTGGCCATCTCGGTCGTGCGATTTGGCGCCGTTAGACTATTTCCTGTGAGGCTACATCAAGTCTATGATTTATGCTTGAAATTGCTCGAAAATTAGGTTCAGCGTCTAAACATCTGCAAGTGTTTCCATATATAATGGCATCGAATGTACTTTCACAGGAATAAAGAATATCATTGATTTCCTAAACCGTTTTTGTTTTATTCAAAAAAGCTTTTGTAACTCTCTTATCGAAAAACCTGTATGGTTCATTAGCAGGATCTGAAATTTTGAGACCTGCTTCTTAAATAAAAGTTGGACTTTTTATCCGTCGATTCTGGTAAAATCACATTTTTACACGGCTGGAAAAGCCTTTCTAAAAGATTAGCAACAAAAAGTAAGCAAATGCTCTTCATTTTGCTCTGACGTTTATCTTTCTGAAAGACTTAAGTTTCTTATAAGTACAATAATACCGAACCATCTGATTTGTTGTAAAAATTCCATGAAAAGCAAGATGTTATCAAAGTTCAACGATTTACGAGCTCATGCTAATGTGGTCCTAATGCTTATAATCACATTTGCAGAGTCGCAAGTTTCAACCAATAAACGTGGATATCTCTAATTAGAAATCATATCCAAATCTAGCGATGAAGATAATTTTTTCTATAATAATGTTTTAAGTGCTTCTATTTATTTGAACACCACTGTATTGCCTATATACTATTGTGTTTACGTATTATTTCACTAAAATTATGAATTAAGATTTTTAAAAACTCTAGATTTTTCAGTTACCAAAAATTTAAAAAGTTTTAAAGTGAATACCAGTGTTACCAGACTACACTAATTTGTAATATCTACTATTTAAGTACATGTACACAGACTAATATGACTGAGAAGAATGCAACAAGTGTCGATATGAATTAGTGTAATGTTGACTATAGTGCTGCTACAAGTATTATTATTGCCTCTTTAGGGGGTATCAACCGTAGCTTGCACCAGCATAAAATTACCTCTTTCATTGGACTGGAACTGCGTCGTTGTTGCTGTTGATACTGTTGCGGTGACGGATGGTGTGGATATTGCGACGCTTGTTGCTGTTGCTGCTGTTGCTGTTGTTGTCGTTGTGGCGGGTAGTGATTTTGTTGCGCTTGTTGTTGCTGTTGTTGCTGTGGAGGCGACGGTTGTTCGTAACGTGACGGTGGTTGTTGTTGCGCATAGCTATCCTCATAGACGTCTTCCTCTTCGCGCGTACCACCGCTGCCACTGCCGCTACCACCAGCGCGCAACGCCTCATCAAGCTCCTCTTGCGTCACCTCCACATTATCCAACTTCTTGAGATTCGGCAAGGCGCGCAGCACTGTTTGGCGGTAACTGGAAGGGAGGAAGAAAGGCGGTTTCGTATAATTTGACAATTAGATAGCTGCTTCCGCAACTTACCTGGGTCCAACTCGATCACAGCATGGATTTTCCTCCAACCACAAATACTTGAGTACTGGCAAGTTTTGCAGATAAGCGATTTCATTAATATCCTGTATATTGTTTTTACGCAAATATAATTCCTGAAGTTTTAGGCAGTCTTCGAATGGTTGCAGTGTGGTTATTTTGTTGACACTGCAGAAAGAGAGTTAGGAAATAGCGATCAGAACAGAACTAACATATGTGTTGCGTTGTTTTAGCGTTTCAAAATTATAATTAGGCTAAAACATCTACAAATATCTGATTAAAAATGGAAAATTCCATCAGGTTTTTAATATGAGATCTTCGGTTCAATATACGTAGATGATTTCTAGATACAACCCTACCTATAAACCTCAGAACAAATACAGAAAAAATCATTCATAAATATTATGCAAAATAAAGAGATTAGATATCCTCTTTTAACCCTACTTCACTATAAATATATTCTTATATCTATATTGAAGAGATAATCAATGACTTTAAAATAACATGGTTCTTTATGATATTTTCTGTAGAGTCTAAAGTTTAGTCTAAATTTATGTAAGTGCATTTGGTATAGTACAAAAATATATGTCTGTTGACTTAGATCGGTTTGTATCGCAGCTATCGTATATGCTATAGAGGTCCAAATTAGATCGGTATCTTAAAAACTGAGGGTATAGTTCACGACCATACAGACGGACGCACAAGGCTAAATAGACTTATCTCGTCATGCTGAAAATTTATTAATACTTCACAGGAGCTCCGATGATCTTCCACATCTTCAGTTCAAATCAGTACACAATCGACAGCGAGACTTACTCTCATTCATGAAAATCATGATTTCCTCAGTGATATGCTTTGAAGTCTCCAGATTGTGATTCAACAAAGCCTTTGAAGTAATTTCACTTTTTAGTAATTTAACACTTGATGTTTTGAAATTTTATCTCTTTGTATACATACATATATAGTATATGATATTTAAAGCGGTCTTTAAACCTAAAGTTTTCCCCTGTATTTAGAGAGATAAAGCCTTGACTAACTATAAGTTACGTAGAGATGAGTGAAAACGTTCCAGATTCAGATACGGCGCTTTTTGTAAAAACAAAACTATAAGATGAGATTAAAATGCTCATTGGAACATAAAAAGTTAACCACTCTTTAAGAAATTGGATGTAAAGTAAAGTTTTTCTACCAGCGAGGTTAATACCTTGACCTGGCAATACTTCAAAAGGCTTAATTCTCAGTGGCCTTCTCAATAAACTCGAGACCATTGAGGTGGTAATATTGCAGCAAGAAACTATTATATTCATAAAACGAGTACTCAGTATGTTTTTTAGACTGCACTATTCTACCAACGCTTTACGGATACCAGGAAAAAGTAAAACTCAGAATGAGCAAATTCTGCTTTTGTAACTTCGTTAGAAGGCGAAGTCTTGTAATCAGCTCGATCCATCAAAAGTTTCAGAACCATTTCTCGTGACACTGGGAGCTAGAGCGGACTCGAACCAACGGATTCTAAGATAATAAAAGATAATGAGGCTCTTTAAAATTTATTTTTATTATATTTTTCAACACCAATAACACATTATATTCTTTTTACACAATAAAGGTCGACATCATTGGAAAATGCTGCATAAATCGGTGTGTAGCGGCAATTAGTTGCTTATCAAACCGCTTTGGGGGCTCAATTAATTTAACAACTCTGAAAACAGTTTCTTACAAAGAAAACAAAGAAAGAGTCATTTTTCATGTACAGTTAGAATTTCTTTCTTCTTTTGTTTCCTGGAATTATGTTTTCTTTTTATTTTCAAAAGCCACGCTTAGTGGTCAGCTAATGACTCACAATTGCAGTGAAATTCTTTAAATGCTCTTACAATTGTTTCACTTCTTATCAATTCGTTCATGACTATTTCAGTTCTGACATCAGCTAACCACAATTGTAATGCTGATATCATCGCTCATGACGGTTCCAGATCACATTATCAGCACATGTTTGCCCAATTTAAGCTGACCTCAGGCTTACGCAGAAAAACACAACGAAATTGGACAACGGAGTAGCAAAAGAAAGCAAATAGAAGAGAGCAGATGAGCTTTAACCTGTAAGCTGGCGCATAACAAAGCAGCTTCTCTCGGTTTGATGCGAGTAACGAAGGTCTTTGGCGCTTACGAGCCATTGTGGCGTGCCGTTAGAGCCAACAAGAAATGTACATAACTAATTATAAACAAAATGCGAGGCTAATGTGCCCACCTGCTACGGAGTATAAATAATATTATGTACATATTTTACGAGTCATCATTATTTATTTTACACACACATATATTGTACATATACACATAAAAATTTGTTTCCTCCTTGCAGCTGCGTTTTCATCGAATTATTTATTTTTTGTTGGAATCGAAGTAGTCTTATGCTTGAATAATAAGCTAACCAGAAACATATGTCTTTAAGTAGTAAGGTAGGGTAAAAAACTTAACTCGTTAGAAGAGCTTTCAATTTCACAATATGAATTCAAATCTCATATTTGTTTAAGTACTAGTAAACTTCTGTAGAATGGTAATCTAATAGCAATGTAATAATACATTCGAGGTTCCCTACTTTTTTAGAGAAAAGAAAAAAGTATCTTCAAATTTATTGGGATATGTTGATAATCATGGGAAAGAAAATTTTTTCAATTTTTTTCTGTTTTTTTTTTTTTTTTTTTTTTTTTTTTTTTTTTTTTTTTTTWTTTTTTTTTTTTTTTTTTTTTTTTTTTTTGTTTGAAGATTATCTCCTTTAAATGTTTGTCGCGGCAAGTTCTCAGATGATCCATGCGATGAGTCAAAATTTTCGAAGTTTTTCTCTTGAATTGAAGCGGGATGGTCCGCGTAGTTTTTTAGCTTTACATATTGCCACAGAAAAAAGTCTAAAGGTGTGATATTGCATGGTCTTGGTGGCCAATCGACCGGACCAAAACATGAAATTATGTGCTCACCGAAGTGTTCTCTCAATAAATCCATTCATTGTTGCGATGTGTGGAAAGTGGCGCTGTCTTGTTGGAACCGAATGTCGCCGACATCACAAGCTTCATGGCGTATGGATCGATTTTTTCACCGGCCGACAAACCATATCAAACCGTTATTTCCTTCGGGATGAAATAATAGCTCTTCCGGTTTTTCTTCGTGTTAAATGCGCAAATTTTGCATGTTTACGTACACGGTGAATGTTGGAAAGAATGCTTACGGTGATTCTGTTTTATCCAAAACACAAACCTACGAGTGGTAATCAAAGCCTTCAAAGACGGTCGAGAGATCGTTGAAGACATGCCCCGTTCTGGACGACCTTCGACATCTTTAACTTATGAAAATATTGAAAAATTTAAGGATATGATGCTTGAAAATCGTCGGGCAAGTGTTAGAGAGCTCCACATCTCAAAGTCATCCGTTCGAATGATTTTGGTGTCTATTTTGGGTATGAAATGCGTTCTTGCTCGACTCGTCCCGATAAAGCTGATTTTTTTTTAAAGAGTATCGTAAACAAATCTCTTTGGACCTACTTGATCGTGGGAGTTCCGATCCCACATTCATGGTGAGCATTATATCTACCGATGAGGCATGTGTTTATGAGTACGACATGCAAACAAGTCAATAATCCTCGGTATGGAGGAAAAACACGAGCCGAAACCAAAAAAAAAAAAAAAAAATCAAAAAAAAAAAAAAAAAAAAAAAAAAAAAAAAAAAAAAAAAAAAAAAAAAACACACCAAAGCCGCTCAAAAATCAAGGTGATGCTCATTGCTTTTCGATATTCATGGTTTGGTGCATTATGAATTTTTGTGGAGGGGCAGACGGCCAACAAGGTTTTTTATTTGCCCGTATTGAGGAGTTTGCGTGCAAACACCCGTTGAAAACGGTTGGAATTATGGAGGAACAATTGATGGATTTTACACTATTATCATAGTATACCATCGAGGCACGATTGTGACCGAATTATAATACCTTCGATCAATGGCCATATTCACCTGACTTGCCTCCGAGTGATTTTTTTATTATTTGCAGGATAAAAAATTAAATTAAATTAAAAATTAAAATCAAAATTAACTAAACAGAACAAGCAATTAGTGCAATGGAAATGTCGGCGAAATGTGCGAAATCCGAAGACGTGATTGCAATGTTTCCCCACTATAAATAGAGCAGCAAAAATGTGTGTCTGCTTTTTTTTTTATTTAGTGGCAAGCGACCTAAGTGCAAACCTAAATAAACGCATCTAAACAGTATGTATGCACCACATGTGTGTCTGAAATGCTTAATTAACCGTAAATAGCACAATGAAAGTTCTTTGATTTAAAATTCCAATCTATTTTAGCAGCGATCGCCTCAACGCCTTTTCATTCAGTATTCCAATAGGGAATCGAAAACTTTATCAGCTTATTAAATAATCATTAATTAGTGGAAAAAGCATTGGCCAGAGCTGGCGTGACTGACGTTCACGCGGAGCGTTAACCGGCAATCAAGAGAATTGGTCAGCAAGCGAGATCGGATCATTCAAATCATTTATTTACCGAACTGCTTAACTGTTTAATGTTGTGTATTGTATGAGGCACGAGTATAAATACGTGTATATATGTATATATACATATATGTGTGAACAATATACAATCTTCTTAAACGCCCCTTGCTGTGCTTTTGGGTAAATATTATATAAAGAGCAATTTTTTCCGTTTGTAGTCGAAGTGACGTTGAACCGCACTCGAACTGAAAGTGCTGAGCTTTTAGGAAATCTCTAATGGGGTTCATTTAAGGTTTCAGAAAATTACATTTTTTTTTATCTGACTTTACCATGCAACAAGCTCCACTAAACTAAACCAAAATGGAACGTATTTGTTAATTTATTTATTAGTATAAATATAAAAGAACTTGAATTTTGATTAGAAATACGAAAATACTTTTTCGACTACCCTATATATAAGAAGCTCACTAAAAGGTGTTTATACCCTGAACAGAGTATATGTATTAAGAAACTTCGGAAACCCTATAAAAAAATCGGTTATTTTAAGGTTCTTAGTTTTTCAGATGTCGCTTTGAAATTTTGTACACCTCTTTTTCTCCCCAAGAAGCTGCTCATTTGGCTTAGCCGCTGATAATGCAGAACTAGATATATGCTATCTGCCATACAAACGGATAATCGGAATTAAGT